ATTTCCAAAGTTGGACTCAGAATTGGTATGCATGACACGCTAGCAATGCAGCAACTGTAAATAGCCAGAAGCAATATGAACGACTTCAATATACTTAAAGCTACTCTGCTAGTTTTTACTTTTTACCAGTATGCAAATGTCATAGGTTATGAACATCCTAGCAGAGGAGATGTCAATCGAGAGTCATGTTGTGTCGAATTTGTTGTGTTCATATCAATAGTGAACTATAAAACAAAAAACCAAAAAAAAAAAAAACCTCTAAAACAGTGAAATTATCATGCTTAAACATAAGTTCGGAGCTCAAAAAAGAGAATTTAGTATTCGAATCTCATGAAATAAACTTTCACATAACAATCCTTTTCGATGGCATCACAAAAATGTTCTGATGNAAAAAAGAGAATTTAGTATTCGAATCTCATGAAATAAACTTTCACATAACAATCCTTTTCGATGGCATCACAAAAATGTTCTGATGAAGCTGAAAACATAAAAGACGTAATTCTTCGCTTTCGGAAATCAAGCAACCACTTTGATTCAAGAAGAAGCTCCACTACGTAGAGCTTGATTCTTATTGGCCTTCCTAGGAGCCAACTGAGTATCAGGCTGCAAAATGATCCATCATGAGCAACAATACAAAGTCATTTATGGAAAAGCAACTAATGTTCATACAATAGAAGCAGGTTAACTGAATCAATCAAATGCAAGACCAAAACACTCATGAGTATAAAATCCCTTTATCTAGCCCTTTAACCTAAAAAATTATATTAAAATGGTCTAAAAAGCAAAAAAAATATGTAATTATAATTGAAAGTTAAAGTTCTAGAACAATCACCAACATAAAAGTCTTTGGGCCAAATTATATGATTAATCACATTCATATCAAAATATTTTAAGAAAAAAAAAGAGTTAAATGAAAAGTTAGTTATAAGTCACAACTTTCTTACATTTCCTTGTGATTTTTATAAGAAAAAAAAGTTAGTTATTTATGAAAAAATTCAAACATGAAAGAAAAATATTTTTTCTATCATTTTCTTTTTCATGCTAACCAAACACATGAAAATTTTAAAAAATTCTTACATTTTTTACCATTCTCCCGCTAAACAAACGAACCCAAAAAGAAAAAGAAAAAGAACAATCAAACATAGTATACCTCTTTCGGGACAGCTTCTTCCTTTTCGGATAAAATCAATTCGATGTGGCAGGGAGATGACATGTAAGCTGCAACGGATATAAAGGTCGTATTAATCATACATGAAATATGAGGGTGAGGAAAATACTGAACTCAACAAGGGCAGGAAACCACTCACGGTTGATTCTTCCATGAGCACGGTATGTGCGACGCCTCTGCTTTTGTGCTTGGTTAACCTGGATGTGAGATATGTAAAGCGAATCCACATCCAAGCCCTTAACCTATAGAATAGGTCAAAACCAAAAACGCCTCTTGTTATGAGGCCATAGAGAGATAAATGAAACTGAAAACAATAATACAACCAATAAGAACACATACTTCTGCATTACTCTCGGCGTTCTTCAGTAAATCCAGAATAAATCTTGCCGATTTAACAGGCCAACGTCCTTGTCCATTTGAATGGCGATTCTTTGCCTGAGCAGTGCGCCCAACTCCACGACAGAAGCGTGTGAATGGGATGGCTTGTTTGTGGATAAGAACATCCTCTAAGTACCTTTTAGCCTTGACCAAAGGCAACTTCCGAATAGCATGGGCAGTCTCTCTTGTGTTCTTCAAGTAGATAAATAAGAATTGGAATTTTAGGACAAATGAATACGAGCATACAAAATATATAAACGTGAAAGCAAAAGCAGGTCTCGTATCACTTTCAGAAAGAACAAATCATGCTCCTCTGCTTTATGCAAGGAAAACTAAGGCGTGTGACGTGCTATTGCTATATAACACAATGAAACCTAGTGTAACTGTAAGGGGTAGAACCCTCAACTAAGGATTTCGGCTTGACCTGGGTTAACCCACGCGGGTGACCCCCCAGTAGCCTTTACCTCTCTTCGCCAATAGGACCCTTTCCTAAGGCAATCCCACATCGGAAGAAAGTCGTCTCCCCCCCTGCCATATAAGTGAACACTTCCTATGGAGGATAGGAAAAGGGTCCTATTGGCGAAGAGAGGTAAAGGCTACTGGGGGGTCGCCCGCGTGGGTTAACCCAGGTCAAGCCGAAATCCTGAGTGGAGGGTTCTACCCCTTACAAAAAGGCGCCTTTTTGTAAGGGGTAGAACCCTCCACTCAGGATTTCGGCTTGACCTGGGTTAACCCACGCGGGCGACCCCCCAGTAGCCTTTACCTCTCTTCGCCAATAGGACCCTTTCCTAAGGCAATCCCACATCGGAAGAGAGTCGTCTTCCCCCCTCGCATATAAGCCCTTGCACTCAAAGGAGGAGGTACCCACTAGGCACCTGATCAGGTCGCTAGTGGGTACCTCCTCCTTTGAGTGCAAGGGCTTATATGCGAGGGGGGAAGACGACTCTCTTCCGATGTGGGATTGCCTTAGGAAAGGGTCCTATTGGCGAAGAGAGGTAAAGGCTACTGGGGGGTCGCCCGCGTGGGTTAACCCAGGTCAAGCCGAAATCCTGAGTGGAGGGTTCTACCCCTTACAAAAAGGCGCCTTTTTGTAAGGGGTAGAACCCTCCACTCAGGATTTCGGCTTGACCTGGGTTAACCCACGCGGGCGACCCCCCAGTAGCCTTTACCTCTCTTCGCCAATAGGACCCTTTCCTAAGGCAATCCCACATCGGAAGAGAGTCGTCTCCCCCCCTGCCATATAAGTGAACACTTCCTATGGAGGAGGTACCCACTAGCCACCTGATCAGGTGCCTAGTGGGTACCTCCTCCATAGGAAGTGTTCACTTATATGGCAGGGGGGGAGACGACTCTCTTCCGATGTGGGATTGCCTTAGGAAAGGGTCCTATTGGCGAAGAGAGGTAAAGGCTACTGGGGGGTCGCCCGCGTGGGTTAACCCAGGTCAAGCCGAAATCCTTAGTAGAGAGTTCTACCCCTTACTGTAACCATCATAAAATTCAAAATGACGACGACCAAATAGACTAGTGAAATATGCAATCAATAAATAACAAAAAGGGGCATCTGATCGGTGAAGAACTGTTCTTGACTGCCTCATAGCAAATTCAATGATGTGAGGACATGCCTGACAATTTTAAGAAGTGGAATATTGAGAAAAAAAATTAGCGCAAGTGGCAAGATGTTTATATTAAGATGTCTAACATGAAGCTTGTCTCGTGCTCTCCAAATCCACGAAACAAGTATGGAAGAATCTGTCTTGGCTACTTGGAGAAACCAAACACAATGCTCAAACTAAATCAGAACACTAGCAAGGATGTTATGTCTGGAATGCAGTTGGAATGTGCCATTATTTACTGAACGTTCTGTCAATAAAACACAGAAGTTCACCCAAAAACAATGCAAGTGATTTCCCTGAAGTTTACGAGAGACCCGCTCAGAAAAAGGCAGCGGAACCCTGCTTTTGTCATCAGGTTCAGCAATGAAGCAAACAATTGGTAGTCATAAACTCCACAAAATACTGCAAAGGATTAAATCAAACAACCACTTTCAATTCAATGTCATCATCAACCCTAACCATAGACTAACAAATGCACCAATAAACATCAACAATTCTATTCATAATTCTGCTTAATCTACTCAGATGATCAGGTCTAATACAAAGCCACTCATTATCTCAGAGCTGCATCCAAAACTACAGACGACAAAAACCGCAACAATATATTTTTAACTTCAGAGTTGCAAGATGTTCAACACAAAACTTGTCTCGTGTTTCCCAAATCCTAATTTCCCTACTTCAATTCACATTGTAATGCAGAACTTTTATGTTGGCTAGCCAGAGAAACCAAATCCAATGCTCAAATTAGTTCAGGACACTAACAAGGATGTCATAAGAGAATATGTAGCAGAAATTTGTCATTATTTACTGAACCTTACGTCAATAGACCACAAAAAGAGTTTCACCCAAAAACAAGGCAAGTGATTTCCCTGAAGTTTACGAGAGACCCACTCATAAAAAAGGCAGCGGGACCCTGCTTTTTTCATCAGGTTCGGCAATGAAGCAGACAATTCATGATCGTAAACTCCACAAAATAGTGCAAAGGATTAAAGTAAACAAAAAATTTCAGTTCAATGACTAACAAACGCAACAATAAACATCAAATGCTATTCATAATTTTGCTTGATCTATTCAGGTCTAATACACATCCACTCATCCTAGTACTTAAAAATACATCTTTTTTATTATCTATCAGTGAGAAATTAAGCATCCAAAGCTGCAGACGATAAAAAATGAAAGATATATTTTTAACTTCAGAAATGCAAGATGTTTTTAGTAAGATGTTAAACGCAAATCTTGTCCCATGTTTTCCTGAATCCTATAATTTTCCTATTTCAATTCACATTGTAATGCAGAGTATCCATCTTGGCTACCTAGAGAAACTAAATCCGATGCTCAAACTAAATCAGGACACTAACAAGGATGTCAAGAGATAATGCAGCAGAAATGTGCCATTATTTACTGAACCTTCTGTCAATAAACCACAAACAGAGGTTCACCCAAAAACAATGTAAGTGATTTTCCTGAAGTTTACGAGAGACCCGCTCACAAAAAGGCAGCAGATCCCTGCTTTTTTCATCAGGTTCATGAATGAAGATGACAACTGATAATCGTAAGTTCCAAAAACTATACTGCACAGCACTAAATCAAACCACTAATGTCACTCAATGTGACTCTAAATCCTACCCATATACTGCCAAGTGAAATTATTAACAACGATCCCTATTCATACTTCTGCTCAAACTGTCCAGGTCAAATACAATTACATTCGTCTTATAACAGAAAACCCATCTTTCCATAATATACGAGTGAGAAAATAAGCAAGCAACACTACCAATGACACAAAAAAACGCAAACCTAGATGATTAACCAAGAAAAACATGTCAAAATTAGCATAAACTTGCCTTAAAATGAACTCTGAGGTCAGAGCCCCTGGCTTTGCAAGCTGAAACACGCCCATCAGAAAATAAAGAAAGAAATCAGATTTCGATATAGTTACCACCTTTTGATTACCGATAAAAACGAAAACCCAAGTACTAACATTTGGTGGGATTTTCGGGCTCCCTCGAGTATTTCACCTGAAATTTTGTAGACAGACACAACAGATCGATCAAAACAAACGACAAAAATAAGTTGAATGTGAGTACATGAATATGAATAATTCACATTTCAGAACGGGCACGAAAGAGAGAGGTTTAGGCAGTGACTTTAACGAGACTAACCATCGCTGAAGCAGCTAGTCTTCTGCTGCTGCTAGAAGAATTTGATACCCAAACGAGGAGAAAATGAAGTTAGGGTTTGCGAATTTAAGAGGCGGAATGAAACGATAGTGCTAGGGTTTACATGTTGCGCTTGGATTGGGCTTTTCTGAAACGTTGTTGAATGAAATTGGGCCTTTGTTTGGGCCCAATAAATTCTTTCTCATGCTGCCTTGCCCTTTCAATTTTTGTTTTAAGAGTTAAGCCGATGAAGATGGATGATATCAATTTTTCGGCCTCATCACCGAAAGTGGTTTCCAATTCGGAAATTATAAACAAAAACTTTTCACATCTAATGTTGCCTCAATCCGATCGTCGCCGGATAACACGAGCTCTTCCTTCATTCAAGACGGGTCCAGCTGAATCATAATTTTTTGCATTGCAAGTATAGAATATTATTGAATCAAGTCAGTAGGAGGTGCCAAATGAGTTTGTTCAGTTTGTATCATTTTAAGTTTATAGTGTGTTTGTGTTTATTGTGAAAAATGAAAAATACATGCAAAACTACAGTACCCTTTTTATCATAAACAACTCTACCTAGGGTGCAATTCGGGCGGGGTTGAGAGGTCAACCCTGTCCTAACTCTAAATATATAACCTTAACTTTAACCCTAATTTTAACCCTATTTCAACCCGAGTATTGCTCGAATTTAATTCGGACGAACTCGGATTGAATTCGGGCTAATTTTAGGTTAAAAATTGAGTTGGATTTAAGTTACTTAATTCGGATTGATATTTTGAAATGTATATTTAATTTTTTTTTAAGTATAGATCTAATTTTTTCAAATCATTTGAAATAAAAGACAAAGAACAAATGAAGAGAGAGGGAAGAGTGATGAGTGCCAAAGAGAAGCTGAGAGTCCGAGTAACGATTGAGAGAGGGAGGAGTGACGAGTGAGAAAAGGATCTGAGAGTGATAGAGGCGCAAGAATAAAGACTTGAAGTAATGTGAAAGTCTAAACTCTAAAGAGTGAAAATAAATACTAACCCTAACTAAATATATTTATATACCTTCAGATTCAACCCGATTTTAATATTCAAGTTAAACCCAACAACCCGAAACTAACCAAATTCAATTCGGGTTAAAATTTTTTTGCCCAAACTCAATCCAAGTATTAAAAATTCTACCCCAAGCCCTATTTTTTTTGGATTGGACTCAAGTTAAATTCAAATTAGCCCATCCAAATTGCACCCCCTAACTCCACCGGACATAGTTTCGAAATCTAATCGATCCAAATCTTACCAGAATCAAAAAAGAAAAATTCAAAATCAAGAAATAAATCCTGTCTATTTTCTCTTANGACATGGTTTCGAAATCTAATCGATCCAAATCTTACCAGAATCAAAAAAGAAAAATTCAAAATCAAGAAATAAATCCTGTCTATTTTCTCTTATAAAACCAATAAAACAAAACACTCATGTCTACGCTAACCCCTCCAATTCATTCTTCATGTTAATCGGTCATGTCATTCTGTAGGTTTTGGGTCGTGTTCAGGGTAGCATGGACACCATCAAATATAACTACATAAACCAGCGGTTTGCAGCTGCTTAGCATAATGTGTTTCCCTGTAAATGCGTGCATACACCATTGTTATAGCCATATTGAACTGCAGAAAGCTTTAGAGATCTAGTCTGGAGAGGCCAATAATAACATAATCAAATTCAAAATATTTGGCTGTGTTTGTGCGCCTTGATATACTACGAAAAATATAGACGAAACAAGCAGAACAGGGTTACACATAGTGCTAGGTAAATCATCCTAAAGATGAAACATAATAATACATCCAACGACCTAGACTGTGTACGCCATGAACATTCCATAGAAAATAATAAAGCTTCCCCCCACTCTTTCCAATAGCAAAACAGACAAACTACTTAACAATGAACTGATTGTGTTCCAACATAAGTTCTGAACTCACAAAGATAATAAAATACTAGGAATCTCCCGAAATAACCTTTTAGTAGCAATTTCTTAATCAGCAACAGAAAAATGTGTTCACGCTAGATATGACAAAGAAAATCAAATTCTTGTCTCTCCTAATCAGTCCACCACTTTGACTCAAGAAGAAGCTCCACTGCGTAAAACTTGATTCTTCTTTGTCCTCCTAGGAGCCAACTGAGTCTCAGGCTGCAAAATAATCAATCAACATACATGGGAGGGCAACTCAAGGTCACATAAATCATTACAACAGAACCAACTAAGATGGAATCAAATGCAAAACAATGCACACATGAGTACCGAATCCCTTTCTCTAGCTCTTTAACTTAAAAAAAAAAAGTAATTACCTCCTTCTGGACAGATTCCTCCTTTTCAGATAAAATCAATTCGATATGGCAGGGAGACGACATGTAAGCTGCAACAGCAACAAAGCTTGATATTAATCACTCTAAATAACCAGGAGGATGATAAAATACTAAACTGCATGAGGGCAGGACGCCACTCACGGTTAATTCTTCCATGGGCACGATATGTGCGACGCCTCTGCTTCTGTGCTTGGTTAACCTGGATGTGTGATATGTATAGCGAATCCACATCCAAACCTTTCACCTAAACAATAAATTGAAGGCAAAACACATCTTGTCAGCGANTGCTTCTGTGCTTGGTTAACCTGGATGTGTGATATGTATAGCGAATCCACATCCAAGCCTTTCACCTAAACAATAAATTGAAGGCAAAACACATCTTGTCAGCAAGGGAAAAGGGAATGGGGGGTAATTAAACTGAAAATAACTAACAGCAATACATACGTCTGCATTACTCTCGGCGTTCTTCAGTAAATCAAGAATAAATCTTGCTGATTTGACAGGCCAGCGTCCTTGTCCATTGGAATGGCGATTCTTCGCCTGGGCAGTACGCCCAACTCCACGACAGAAGCGTGTGAATGGAATGGCTTGTTTGTGACCAAGAACATCCTCCAAGTACCTTTTTGCCTTGACCAAAGGCAACTTCCGAATTGCATGGGCAGTCTCTCTTGTATTCTACAAGTAGATAATAAACATAGAGTGTGAGAAGAAATGAATGCAGCAAAAGTGGGCCTAGTATTACGTTCAGAAAGAACCAAACATGCAGCTATGCTTCATCTACCCCCACAAATTATTTATGGGAAACTGCAGCACATGATTGCTATATCCTAGATAACATAATGAATTCAATTATAACCATCATACCATTCAAAACGGCAACTACCAAATAATAAAGTGAAATATGCATTCAATAGATGACAAAAAAGGGGTTTCCAATCAGCGAACCACTGTTCTCAATTGCCAAATAGCAAATTCAATGATGAGTACTTACACCTAACAAACAAAGATGGGGAATACTAAGGAAAAATTTAAAACGACAGCTGCAAGATGTTTAAACAAGAAGTTTGTCTCATGTTTTCCAAATCATTTGATTACCAAATGTTGTAATGCAGATCTCCATCATGGCTACTTAGAAACCAAATCCAATGCTCAAACTAAATCAGCACATTAACAAGGATGTCGCGTGAGAATGCAATCGGAATGTACCATCGTTTACTGAACCTTCTGTCACCAACAACAAATACATAGGTTCACCCAAAAACAATGTCAGTGATTTCCCTGAAGTTTACGAGAGACCCGCTCACAAAAAGGCAACGGACCCCTGCTTTTTTCATCAGGTTCAGCATCGAAGCTGACAACTCACGATCATAAGCACCACAAAATATACCCCCCCCCAGGGGGGGATAAAACAAACAACTAATTTGATTCATTGTTACTTTGAAACCTGCTCATACCATATACTAACAAATGCCACAAAAACATCGATTCTTATTTACACTTCTGCATAATCTCTTCAGTCATAATACAATTCCAATGATCTTAGTACAAAAAACACATCTTTTCATGAAANCAGGGGGGGATAAAACAAACAACTAATTTGATTCATTGTTACTTTGAAACCTGCTCATACCATATACTAACAAATGCCACAAAAACATCGATTCTTATTTACACTTCTGCATAATATCTTCAGTCATAATACAATTCCAATGATCTTAGTACAAAAAACACATCTTTTCATGATATATAGCAATCCAGCAAGCAACACACCGACGACAAAAAGGTAAACCCTTATGATTGAACTTGAACAAGAAAACAAGTTAAAATCCAGATAAACTTGCCTTAAAATGCACTCTGAGATCTGAGCCCCTGGCTTTGCAAGCTGAAATGCGCCCGTCAGAAAACAAACACAGAAATCAGATTCCAATTTCTGACAGCCGGAAAAAAAAAAATCGAAGTACTCACATTTTGTGGGGTTTTCGGGCTCCCTCGAATATTTAACCTGAAATTTTGAAAAACAAGAACAACAGACGGATCATGATAAAGATATATATATACACACACAAATACACAAATATATACGCACAAAAATACATATAATTCAGACTTCAAAAAGGACAGGGAAGAGAGAGGTTTAGGCAGTGACTTCAAGGAGACTGACCATGGCTACCGCCCCTGCTGCTAGATGTATTTGGCGCCCAACCCCCAACCAGAGAAAGAGAGAGAATACAAATTTAAGTGACGGAATGAAACCCTAGAGTTAGAGTTTACTGATTGAGCTGGAATTGGGCTTTTGTCAAGCATCTTTTTTTTTTTTTTTTTTTT